CTGCCCGGCTCCTGCCCCGAGGGCGGCCGCGGGCTCAGCCTGGGCCCGGGCCCCGTATTCCCACGAACCACGGGGCTGGGCCGGTCTCCCCGGCGAGGCCGCCCCGAGCTGAAGTGCCCCGAAAGCCGGTTTCACTCGGAAAGACGAGGACGCGGCCTTCCAAACACAGCTTGCGCTTTAGTAACTCGGGTCTCGGCCACCGCGGGCCCTCGCCCGCCAGCCGGCCCGCGGACCGCGTGGAGCCGCCGGCCAGTCTGTCTCGGCTCACGTGAAGTCACAAGATAGCCTCTGCCCCAGACAGAGAGAGGAGGCCCCGCAGGGGGCCGGCGCCCGCACAGCGGCCCGGCCGCTCAGCGCCCGCCGCCCTTGCGCTCTATGGTGGGCAGGCGGCACTGCTTCAGGCTGGGCTTCAGGTCCTTCTGCGGGTCGGCCTGGCGGGAGAGGGCAGGCGGTCGGCGGAGGCCGGGGCCGGCCGCACCCGGGGGGGCGGGGGGCGGCGGGCGGCCCACCTTGTGGTTTGCGCCCACGAGCTTCAGGGGCCTGAGCATCGAGACTCTCCCGCTTGCTCCGGGCCCGAACACGGTCTGCAGAGCCGGGCTGGAGTAGGAGGACAGGGTGGTCACGCCCGGAAGCTTAAGCTTGGGGAGCTCCATCAGGTAGGCGGGGCCCGCTCTCCGGGGCTGGTCCTCCTCGGGCTTGGCAGGCTGCTGCTTCTTGGGACAGAACGCAGGTCAGCAGAGCAGACAGCGGTCACGAGGGGCCCGAAGGCAGCACATGACTGGCACCGGGTGGCCAGGGTGGCCACGAGGGGCCCAAGGGCGCGCATGGCCACTTCCCGGCTGCTTCTGAGTTTAAAAATTCCCTGATGTCTGAGAACTGAGACTCAACTCTCGGGTCCACAGTTTTAAGGGTGTTCGGCCCAGTGTCCACCACGATGGCCCGGCAAGCCGTAGGCACGGCCACGGCCACCTGAGGCCACAGGCTGGGCAGGCCCCGCGGGGCGGGAGGGCGCCCGCAGGGGTAGCGTTAGGAGCTGGGCAGCCGGGTGCACGTCTGCGGCCGCCCAGCAGCCCCGGGGGGAGGTGCCGCTGGGACAAGACAGGGCCAGCGGCCTGGCCGTGAGCGGAGGGCTGGGTGAGCGCGTGGCCTGCCCGGGGGGCCTAGGGCCCCGGCTGCTTTGGCGCCAAGGCGGCCTCCCTGGCCTGGGCCTGCGCCAGGCGGCCCTGCCCGGCCCCGAGCTGTGGGGCAGGCCGGGCAGGCGGGCAGAGAGGACCCGCAGTGCCATGGCCTGGGCGGCACAGGTGCGGCCCACGTACCTGCTTCCTGCCCTCCTTCACGAGGTGCCAGTCGCTGCTGAGGAGCTCCGGGGCCGCGGGGCGCTCCGGGAAGAAGGCTCTCCGGTGGCCGGCCAGAGCCTGCCTCTCAGCCGCCCTGGGGGGAGCACGGGGGCACCTCGAGTCTGCCTGCGGCGCCCCACCCCGCACGGCCTCCAGGCTGCCGGCCGCCCGGCCGCGCCTCGGGCGAGCGTCCCGGAGGGTCGGGCGCCTGGCCCAGCCCCGCCTACCTCTGCTCCTGGAAGTAGGGGTGCTGCAGCGCCTGGTGGGCCGTGACTCTGTCGTCGGGGTCGTAGGCCACCATGGCGTGCAGGAGGGAGAGGCAGTGCGGGGACAGGGTGGCTGTCGATAGAGGTATTCCCGATCCCTTTTTAAAAGGAAAATCAAAACTCATAGCTCTCGACCTGCATTAAAAGCCCAATGACAACAGGCGTCGCGCCGTTACTGAGAGCCGCGCTGTCCGTCGTCCTGGCGCCGCGGGGCCTGCGCTGCGGTGGCCGTCGAAGGCCAGGAGGG